ATCTTGTTGGGTCGATCCAGACTTACCGGAGTCTCTCTCCCCCACCCCCCCCCCCCCCCTCTTTGGTTACTTTTTCTGCTTGCAAAAACTTCTAACACAAACCACGTCATTTATTAAGCTAATTACCGCATCCCAAGTGCTAGAGGCTAGAGGCTAGAGGATCAACAGATGTGGAGCTCTCTGAGGTGGAAGCACCTGATTTTCCGTCCACAAGAGCAAGGGCTAGTGTCTTCTCTATACTATCACCTTCATCTTCCAAGCGAATCGCAGCCATAACTGACAGGAACTTCAGAGACTGGGAGAACATTTGAAGGAGTCAACACAGACTGAAATGTAATACTCAAACCTGAAATCACATCCAAATGAGGAAGCTTAATCTAGTCAGTCATACAGCTGATCTAGCAGTTTTGGTAATTGCTCGGATATCTTCTTTTCCAGTCCAGACTCGTGGCATTGAGTCAGAATCATGACTAAATAATGTTGAAAACCTGTCAATAATTTTCAGGTCAGTAACTCTTCTTCATCAACTTTTCTGTAAAAGTGAAAATAGAGCAACTCATGTCTGTACCTATCCTTCATGCGAACCAAAACCCTTCCAGCTTCTACCTTTGCCTTTGCTTCAACTACTCCCTGTGCATAATCCTTCAGTCTTGAAACCATATTATCTCTAGCTTGTTCATCCATTTCAAAATCAGAAAGTGCAGTAGAGAAACCCAAGACTCCGGTTTCAGTCTCACGCTGAAGCAGCTTTCTTATCGCTGGCCATGTATCATCACCAGCTCCATCTAAAAGAGCCTCAACAGGTCCAGCTAATGCCTCGTTCGATTTTGTCTGAAGGAAAAAAATTCCCATTAGTGCCAATATAATTACATTAGAAAGAACAGTTGCAACAACAATAACAACATACCAAGTGTAATCCCACACGTGGGGTATGGGGAGGGTAGTGTGTACGCAGACCTTACCCCTACTTTGTGAAGGTAGAGAAGCTATAACAAACTGGTTTTTTCATGATTGAATTTATCATCTCTTTCCTCAAACGAAGGATTCCCCTTAGCTATTCTTTCCTAAGTTTTCCCTTTCATCAGTACGTTTAGTCCTTATAAATTACCTAAATTGTACGTCAACTGCACCTGAAAGGAATGCCCGAGTCGGGGCTAGTGACAGGAGTGAAGTCCTAACATGGTAGCCGTACTGGAAGGTGTGGCTGGATCACCTCCTTTTCAGGGAGAGCTAATGCTTGTTGGAACTCTGCTCTTTCCCTATCTTTGCTATCGATCGAACCATCTCGAAAGCACTAGGATCCGGATCTGTCTTATTGACCGGCTTTGGTCGAGCAACCGCTACATTTCTTGAACGGCTACTGCCTACATAACCCCTCTCCCTCTTTTCAAGGAAGTGAGTCTCAGACCCTATGTAGTTCTCGGTCCTTTTTTAAAAAGTTCCTGACTGGTGCTTTTGTGGCTCTTCACTCACTAGTTAGGATATCACATAAGGGGAATCCATTCTAGGAGTTCTCCAAAGCCCTATCCCATATAAAAGAGAAAAGCTATATTAACGCTCTAGCCCAAGAATAGATCGTATGAAAAGAAAAGAAAGATCGTCAGCGGAGATCGCAATACGCAGTTTTTTAGACATAATACCCGGCATTAGAGAATTCCAGGGATTTTCTCTATTTAAAGTAGGAGATAGCTGGGTATTCCCACAGAGAAGTCTTGCTCTGGCTTGCCCAAAGTGTTAACATATAGAATTAAGGTTGTCTTACATACACACTGGTGGAATTTCATTTTCTTCCGCTTTTTTAAATAGTAAGAGGGGAATTGAGTAAACTATCATTGTCCGTAGTTCCAGCGGATTCTCTTTTGTCTTGCAAACCCCTTATTCTGTACTCCCATATTCAGTGTTATTAAAAGCGCTCGCTTCAAGCGCTGAAGCGACGCGAGGCGCTATTCTATCGCTTTTTTGCTATAAAAGCGACTCACATAAAAAAAGCGCATGCTTTAACCGCTTAAGCGAGAAGCGCCGCGATGGAAAAAACGCAAAAAAGCGTGCTTAAGCGACGTGAAGGCATCTGCGAGGGTTTTTTTAAAAAAATTGCCAAATAAACATACGCTCTTCTGCTGCTCCAACTCCAGCGACGACTGCTGCTCCAACGACTGCTTCTTCTCCAGTTCTCTGTAAGTTTCTTCTTCTCTCTTCTTCTTCTTCTTCTACTACTACTCCTTTTTTCTCTTTTTCTTTCTATTTTTTTCACTTTCTATTGCTCTGTTCTAGACATCTAATTTATGCTCTGTTCTTCTGCCCTATTTTTCTCTTCTTCTTTCTATTTTTTTCACTTTTTATTGCTCTGTTTTTGTGCCCTAAAACTATGCTCTGTTTTCTGGTTTATGCTTTTGTTTTTCTGGTTTTATTGCTCTGTTTTCTGTTTTTCTGTTTTCTGCTCTGTTTTTCTGCTAGTGCTCACTGTTCTGGTTCGTCAAAATTAACTGCTAGTGCTTAATATGTTATTTTTAATGAGTTCTTAGCCATTTATCTATGCCTATTTTATTTTTTTTATTTATGTGTTAAATTGCGCTTCACATGAAAAAAGTGCGCGCTTCGCTTCACGCTTCTCGCTTCGGTCAAGCGAGGCCTCGTCGCTTTTTTGCGCTTAACTCTTTCCAAAATACTGCCCCTATTCTTGAAAAGACCGCTATGAACCTTGACCTTTGGCTTTTCGTTCTTTCTGCTGCAGCTGTTTAGCTATATTCGTCTCCTTTTCTTAGTCCCCATCAGGAAAGAAAGCTCTAGAGTTCAAGGCTTCCTTGATTGGTACTACTGGCTTGTCCAGCTATTGGGTGGGACTACTCCGACATATTCGGTGCTACGCCCCTATTATCCCGTCCTCGAGACTGAACTAAGGCACATCGCTTCTTTGCTTAGGGTTTGGTTCGGGTTTAGCTTCTGCCGGTCAAAATAAAATACCAGGTCGGGGCTTTCTTTCCTGCGGTTTCCGATATTGCAATGGCAAGCAAACAGAAGGTTTCCGTCTTTCGGGTATAGGCTTTCATTCATTGGAAAGATTTTAGACTACCAGAGAAGAAAAAGTTATCTAACCCTGATATCCTTGGTACTGTCCCTGCTGAGAAAGATCCGGATTTCCCAGAGAGTGCTTTTCCGGTGCGGTGTAACCAACTCAAGGCTATCAAGGGAAGGAGTTGCAGAACCGGAGTTCTATCTCGGATCCACAGAATGACCAGTTTTTGTCTCGAAAACCGCTCTTAGGGCAGGTTCCACGTGGGATTGGATATCGAAGGTTCCTTCCGAGCATTTTGGATATGGAATCTGTATTGCCGGAAAGGTTCTCCCTGTCCCGGGCAACCTCTCTTCTTATATGATTCATAGAGTGGAGTTTCCCTTTAAGGTTGGATTCCACAGATCTAATCGGCGGAAAGAAGCACTGGCTAATACTTTAATGGAGATGGGGCCTACAGGGCAATCAGATAGCAGATTCCCCTTTATTGTCTTCAATGTCTGGACTTTAGGAATGATTGACTGTAAGAGAAGGATAGAGACTTTCCTAAGAAGGTCTTATGTATTCGTAAAAGTCTTTATTGTTTTTTTACCGTCTTGCTTAGGAAAGACACATCTCGGTCCAGACAAGATCCTTAGATGATCCTTTCTGTACCCTATGTCCTGTCTTGAAGAACGTCTTCCCCGGTCCGAGACAGGTCAACAATCGTGGAAGGCCCAGGATGGTCGCTATAACGTCTTTTTCGGCACGGTAACAAGGTCCAACGATGAATCTAACATGGAAGACGGTTATTGTGCCTTAAACGACATGATATAGGCTTTAAAGAGGGTTTTCATGAAGGATTGTGGGATAGCCTTCCACTCGGACTTGAGATCCTTCCCCTTGCTGGCAGGCTGTCTTAAATAAAAGGAATGCACATAAAGACAAGACAGCTTAAGCGTCACTGAAAGAAGAAAAGCTTTTTTCTTTCTTTCATCCATACCTTCAGCTGGCCATCGTTCTCTGAAAAATTCTAAAGCTTTCGGATCTGCTGTGGATAATTCTAGTTCCAAATTGATGCCCTATCGGGGACAGAAGGAGCGAATCTCTTTCTCTTTACTTACGCAATTTCGGAAAAATCTAGTTGATAGGATTCACTCACAAGAAGAATTCAAGTGAAATTGTTTTTGAGTTCAAAGAAGACGCCTCCAACTACTTAGGGGAACCCACTCTTCTTCCTTGCGTTCGATTAGGGGCCCCTGCCCTCCATTCTCTCAAGTACCTCTCCGCTTCCTCTGCTTGCTTTCATGTAGTTTATTGCTTAGGTAAAAAAGTTTATTCCGGCTAGACTTTCTTCTTCTCTTAAAAAAAATGATATTCATATATTTTGAACTCGATAGGGAATAAAACCCGATCACCCTGTAATTAATATACATACGTCATTTAGCTTAAATTGATTTAGGCTATTGGTTTTGGCGCTAGGCGAGCGATACATAGACTTAATCATGGGTTATTGTACTGAATAGAGATATGATTATCAAATGATTTGTGTCTGTTACCGTAATGGTAGAAAGAATGATATTAGGAAGGGCAGGACCCTTTATTTGAGCCGTTCCTATAATGCGGATACACACCCTGAGATGAGAAATTTCTTAAAGAAATTTTATCGCCTGATGCTCGAACCGAAGTTTAATGATATTTCCAAGGATAAAGGATTAAATATTACCGAAGAAACTAATATTAGCAAATACCAAAGTGTTGTGTTGGAATTGTTGCGTAAATCTAAAGTAGACAGGTACGATAATGATAAATTATACGAATTACAAAAGATGATTGAAGAGCAAGCATATCCATATGATGATATACAGAGTTTGTTTGAGGCTACACCTATGATGCTTAATCTTTTGGTTAAGAAGGATGCGCCCTCTGCTAAGGAGTATCTTAAGGCTAGTAAGAAACTCACTACCGGTGAGTTGGATCTTCTAAACCTCTTTCATCAGTATACATTCGAAGGCATTATTATTTATATTTTTGGTTGCCTCTTCAATAGTATTAATTCGGCTCAAAGAAAGCATGGTCACAGCAGACGATAAAGAAATACGGAGGTGGAGAAGCTTTAGAAAGAGAAACAATAACAGCAGCCAGCAAAATAAGATAACCGAAGCAAAATAAACAACGGGTAATAGTAACATCTAAGAATGGGAAACACAAGAATAACATTAGTACTATAAGTGGCGGAAATTAGAAAGATCAGTTGGATCTAAAAATATAGTTCTCGGTGTTGCTTGTTATAATATAAGATTCCTTAAAAACAATCAACATTTCAATTTATTTCATGAATGAATGCAGCAATCCAGCTCTCAGCTGCAGCTGGCTGATGACAAACTCCCCACATAAGAAAGGGAAAACACAAACATTCCTTTTTTTTCCTAGATTGATAGAGGGATAGGCGAACTACAAATTATTTGAATGTCAAAATGCAACAGGAAAGCACTACCAAAGGATTAAATGAACTTTACTTTTTGATAGGTACTACAATGATTAAAAAATCCAGGTTCTCAAACTTCGTACCTCATAGAGGGTTGTAACTTCAGCCAGCTTGGCACTACGAACTTCAGCAATATGAGCATCTGCATCACGCTTGAGCTTATCCCTTATTCTAGAGGGATCCCAATTTGCTTGCCCAATAACAGCATCTGCAAAATAGTACTAGTAGTCATATTTCAAAAACTAATCCGCTGTGACTGAGCTCAATATTTAATCCCTGCATAATATCAGTCATTTACAGGCAAAGCCTTCCCCAGCCTTCCCCGTCTAACATAGTCCTCTACTTACAGCGTTAAAGGAAAGGGGATAAAGGGACGGGCCGCGGGATAAAATACGGGTTAATGGATAAATGGGACGGGTTAATGGGTGGGTGTTTTTTCCACCTATATATGCTGACATGGACAGCGGTTAGTTTTAAGAGATAGAAGTGGTCCACTTTACAAACGGCGAGGGTAATTTTGATACCAAAGGATAACGAAGGGCAAAAGTGGTCTATTTCCGATAGTTGAAGGGTAATTTTGGCCCTTTTCCGTATATATTATATCATGCAGGGCAGCAATAGCAGGCTATATCTTGTACCTGCACATTCTTCATTGAAGTGGGACATAAAAAACTCGGTGCAGTCCTGAGCAGCCACAGCAAACCCTTTACCTCCCTTTAGTGCCTTATCAAATGCTTCTTTGAATCTTTCCGAAGTACGAGATCTTACGTGTCCCAGCATAGATTGGTACGCTTCTTGGACAAGCTGCAATAGGAGAACGGATAAGTAACTAGATAAAGCAATCAGAAAATGTACCTTCAAAGGTTAAAAGGCTTAGAAAATGCCCAGCACTGGCTTTTCATTACCTCCAGCAGTTTCTCTTCCAATTGGTTACATTATCTAACTTAATATTATAAATGAAAAAATAATAATAATACTTCTTTTTCGTCTTTTTTTCTTTTTTATTTTTTTCCACCATTACCTGCAGCAATTTCTCTTCCAACTGCTTCCGTTTTGTGGATCTTACTCCATCATCAAAGAAAGTAGCGTCAGCATCATACCTGAAAAGAAAGAATGTTACTGACCAAGTGCACATGTCCTTATTAATGAAATACATACACCACAACTGATGTAACATGTCTCAAGAACAGAAAAAACATCAATTTACATCAACAGGAAAAAGAGAATTCTGTACAGATCTACACCGCTGTAGAAGTGCAACTTTGTAGTTTTAGTGTAGTAGCTTCTCTCCAAACAAAATTACAGGCTTCCTACATTCTTTGGTATCATAGATGCAATTTTAGACTTTGTCACAAGAGAGTGTATAAGAAATGATAGAAATTTGGTCGCAAAATTTGGTAGGCGTAGGAAAAAATACAAGCACACAGCTATAGAAAAGTTCATGCTGCACTGCATAGCACTAAATGAAAAGCCTGAAGCAGGAACAACTGCCCGACGATCTCCAGCAAGCCCATCAGGTGCAATAGAATGAAAGAATCGGTCTCTTAGACTAGCCACCTTATGAAGATGTTAGATAATGAATGTAGACATAATCTGAATGTAGACATAATCTTATGTAATATACATAGCTAGCATAATTATAGGGATTCACAGCAGATTTATAGGATTTCCTTTTTGATTCTTTCCATAGTTAAGGCTCTATGTACTTGTATATATACTTGTTATTTCTTGAATACAACACAAGAGAGATTTCTCTATTATCTCTATACTTTACATGGTATCAGAGCAGGTCTACTGCTCGCCGGAGTTGAGTCGAATCCGCTGCCAGAAATTCCTTGGCCGGAAGCTAATCTGAGGTCTTTTTGACATTTCCAGTTGACTTGTGGTGGTTCTCTGATCATAGAACCACATTTTGGCAAAGAACAACCTCAGACCAGATCGTATTCTCACTTTGTTTGGTCAGGTTTGAGTTTGGTTTATTGGTTATTCGATTTCTTTAATTCTGTGGTATTTTTCTTGGAGGCTGCCTATGTAAGAAGCTTGCATCTTTAATTTTGACTCACTGTGGTGAGCGATTAGTGACTTGATATTGTCTGTTGGATCTTTCCTTATCAGAAACTTTGTTGGTCTCTAATTTTGTTTGAGTTGGGGACAAATTCGTTTGGTTCTCTGATTTGGTTGAGTGGATTATTAAAGTTGAATCCTGTTCAATAGATTGTTGATTTCGTATCTGCCAGGATCTGTTTGAGTATCTTTTAGCTTCGGGGACCTCTGTTAGTTTAATCAGTTTGTTATTGAAAGAAAAAAAAAATGATGGTAAAGAATAATAATGCAACAACTCCTAGTCCAACAATCTTGGTTTCGGATGAGTTTCTAAAATTCCTTCAATATCATAAATCAGTTAAGGAATCTTCTTCAGTTACTGCCTTTGCTGGGTCAGATAAAACATGTCTTATCACCTCTTCCAATAAATGGGTGATCGATTCTGGTGCTACAAATCACATGACAGGTAATCCAAATATTTTTTCTAGCTTTCGCTCACATAAAGCACCCTCTCCGGTTACTGTAGCTGATGGATCAACTTGTAGCAGTGTTGGATCTGGGACTATTAAACCAACTTCCTCTATTACCCTGTCATATGTATTAAGTCTACCAAACTTGGCCTTTAACTTGATTTCTGTTAGTAAAATTACCAAAGACCTTAATTGTTGTGTTGCATTCTTTCCCGATCATTGTTTATTTTTAGATCTTAAGACGATGAAGGTTATTGGTAAAGGATATATATCTGGTGATCTCTACATTCTTAATGAATGGGAGCCACGGTCTGTTGCATGCTCTAGTATCGTGTCTCCTTTTGAAGCACATTGTCGACTTGGACATCCCTCTTTGCCTTTGTTAAAGAAGCTCTGTCCTCAGTTTCAGAATATTTCATCATTGGATTGTGAGTCATGTCGATTTGCAAAACACCATCGCATCTCGTTAAGTCCAAGGGTTAATACGCGAGCCGAGTCAGCTTTTGAGTTGGTCCATTCTGATGTTTGGGGACCATGTCCGATTGTTTCTAAAATTGGGCATAAGTATTTTGTCACTTTTATAGATTATTTTTCTCGAATGACTTGGATTTACTTTATGAAGAGCCGCTCTGAAGTGTTTACTCATTTTTCTACCTTTTGTGCTGAAGTCAAAACTCAATTCAATGCTTCAGTACGTACTCTAAAGAGTGATAACGCTAAAGAATACATGTCAGAGTTATTTCAGTCCTACATGAGACAACATGGTATATTACATCAGTCTTCATGTGTTGATACACCCTCTCAAAATGGAGTTGCTGAGAGGAAGAATCGGCATCTACTTGAGACAGCTCGAGCACTTTTGTTCCAAATGAAGGTTCCTAAACAGTTCTGGGCTGATGCGGTTTCTACGGCTTGTTTTCTGATTAATCGCATGCCATCTAGTGTACTCGATGGTAATGTGACTTATAGTGTTCTTTTTCCGAATAAGTCATTATTTCCGGTGGAACCTAAGGTGTTTGGAAGCACATGTTATGTTCGAGATGTTCGACCATCTCTTACCAAGTTGGATCCCAAGGCGGTGAAGTGTGTTTTCCTGGGCTATTCTCGCCTTCAGAAGGGGTATCGATGTTATTCTACTGAGCTTGGCAAATATTTAGTGTCAACTGATGTGGTATTTTTAGAGACTACACCATTCTTCTATGCACCTCCCATTTCTACAAGCCAGGGGGAGGAAGATGAGTGGCTAGTATATCAGGTTACCCGTACTTTGACAGAACAATCAGATGATACGCTTCGATCTCCCAGTTCTTCTATTGAGCACCGATCGACTATTATGCCTTCAGTACCTGCTCTAGCAAGACCTCCAATTGTTCAAGTTTATTCGCGGAGGCGAGAGACAAATGATACATGTCCCGCACCAGTACCTGTATCATCTGATTCTCTCCTTTATGTATAGAGGTGGAGTCTGGAATGGAGTATAAAGGGAGACCTTTCAAGTTTTTTAACTGTCTCACTAAGCATCCAGAGTTTGAAGAAATAATAAGAAGCAGATGGGAAAAGGAGAATAGAAATATGAAGGATATATGGTGTAATCTGAAGCAGATTAAAGAAGAGATGAAAAGGTTAAACAAGAGAGAATTTTCCAATACAACAAAGAAGGTGCAGCAGCTAAGGGAAGAATTAGCAAACATTCAAGCACAGATGAGAACAACTAACACAGCAGCTGATATGTTTGATGTGGAGAGAAACACAAAGCAGCAACTAGAGAATTGAAGTAATATAGAAGAGAGCATCTATAAGCAAAGGTCTCGAATACAATGGCTTCAACTAGGTGATTCCAACACAGCTTTTTTCTTTGCAAGCATGAAAGGGAGAGTAGCACAAAACCAAATAAAGAGTTTAACAAATAGCAATGGAAGATTGATCAACAATCCAGAGGGCATTGAACAGGAGATAGTGGGGTTCTATAGAGGATTATTAGGGAGATCAACTAACAACATGCCTACTATTAATCCTAGCATAATGAGGAATGGTCCAAGACTTAAAAGATCACAACAGCTTCAGCTTATAGCCCCTTTTACTAAGGAAGATGTGAAGACAGCCTTGCAGGGGATTGGTGACTCAAAAGCACCAGGTGGAGATGGTTTCAATGCCTACTTCTACAAGAAGACTTGGCATATAATTGGCAAGGACATTACAACAGCTGTTCTGAAATTCTTTGATGATGGTATAATGTATAAACCAATAAATAGGACAACAGTTACTCTGATCCCAAAAGTGAAAAATCCTTCTCCTATAAAGCAGTTTAGGCCAATATCCTGTTGCACTATTATTTACAAAATTATTTCCAAAATGCTCACAAATAGGCTGCAGTCAGTAATGGGAGACTNAAGCAAGAGGGAATCTTTTGCTTCAGAGAAAGTACATTCTGACTTGCTTGCAGAAACTGGAAAGTTGGCAGCTAAACCTTGCAGTACTCCAATGGTTCCTAATGTGCATCTTATGAAAGATGATGGTGATCCTTTTGACGATCCAGAGAGATACAGGAGGTTAGTTGGGAAATTAAACTACCTTACTGTGACTCGTCCAGATATTGCTTTTGCGGTAAGTGTTGTTAGCCAGTTCATGTCTGCACCAACGGTCAAACATTGGGCAGCTTTGGAACAGATTTTGTGTTACTTGAAAGGAGCTCCTGGACTTGGCATATTATATAGCAATCACAATCATACTCGTATTGAATGTTTTGCAGATGCTGACTGGGGTGGATTGAAAATTGATAGAAGATCTACTACAGGTTATTGTGTCTTTGTTGGAGGAAACTTGGTATCATGGAGGAGTAAGAAGCAAAGTGTTGTATCTCGATCTAGTGCAGAATCCGAGTATAGAGCTATGTCACAGTCTACATGTGAGATTATGTGGTTATGTGGATACATCATCTGTTGATTGAAATTGGGTTAGAGCATCCAATACCAGCAAAACTCTGGTGTGACAATCAAGCTGCCCTCCATATTGCGTCAAATCCGGTGTATCATGAAAGAACTAAGCATATTGAGGTTGACTGCCATTTTATTCGTGAGAAGATTCAGGAGAACTTGATCTCCACTGGCTACGTGAAGACAGGAGAGCAACCGGCTGATTTGTTCACAAAGGCGTTGAATGGAATTCGAGTTGATTACCTTTGTAACAAGCTGGGCATGATCAATATCTATGCTCCAGCTTGAGGGGGAGTGTTAGATAATGAATGTAGACATAATCTGAATGTAGACATAATCTTATGCAATATACATAGCTAGCATAATTATAGGGATTCACAGCAGATTTATAAAATTTCCTTTTTGATTCTTTCCATAGTTAAGGCTCTATGTACTTGTATATATACTTGTTATTTCTTGAATACAACACAAGAGAGATTTCTCTATTGTCTCTATACTTTACAGAAGAAAACAAGAATGAACAGAAATAAGCAACTCAAAGCCCATTAAACTGGAAAAAGAAAAACCATAGTGGCAAAGCAACCACTTCTAAGAAATTAAACTTTTTAAAAGAGAAAAAGAAAGATAAAAATGATCATTGTTTCCACTAATTTACTTTAAAGTACCTGTTCTTTGAATTGTTCTTCCTTTTCTTCATAACTAGAAAGAGGCACAACCTCGACCCGGAATGTCAATCGATTTCATTACATGAACATGCATAGACATAAAAGAGAGAGTAAGAAGGTTAGGACAGATCATAATGAGACTCACATAAGAGAAGTCGCTTAAAGGTGTTTCCTTGTGAGCTTGCGGCTTTGGGACGGAATCCCAAATCTATATCCAAGAGAAGTGAACAAAAAATAATATTTGATTTTGTAAGACAAGACATAATAAGAAGAGTTGTGCATATAGTACCTTTTGAATATCTTCCCGTAGTACAGGCTCCAAATTCTCAAGTGGAGTCTACAAAATTCAATTGGAAAATTAACTGGCTTATTGAAGTCTTTGTACAATTTGCAGTTAAATGTGAACACTCCATTTATAAGAGAGGAAGGAACCTACCCTTGTTTTATCACGTATAACAAACATCAATGTCGTTTTACGAGGACTAAATAACCGCATCATGACCTGTTTAACATAAAGAAATCAGTAAATTGATCCAGGATATACAAAAAAAAACGTAACTTTTTCTACGTTTACCTGGAAAACAGTCTTCAAAAGAGGTTTATTTGCAGCTTGCTCACGGCCAATGTCGTGACACCACCTGAATGTTGAGACATTTGATCAACTTGTCTATTTCAATTTTTGCTGGTATTATTTTATGTCAAGTCTATGTACTTCAGACACTAAAGGAAGCTTACATGTTGATTAGCACTATATCGGAAACAGCAAGTGCAAACAGGGCGCTCTGTTTTTCAAATGCAGTGTCATCCTAAAAAGAAAATAAAGTCTGAATGAGAAAACAATAAGCTCTATGCCCAGTTATAACACTCCATGACAAATGATGGGAAGGGAGCATTCAATGAGCATTGGTAGCTGGAATTTTGGCGGCTCCAAATCTATCTCTTTCATATACATGATTGAAGATGGATATTACAACATTGATAACCCTGAGGGGTAGCTCGGCTGGTAAAGGCTTGAGGACAAAGTCCTTCACGTCGCTAGTTCGAGCCCCAGCAGGGCCACTGGAGGCATTACAAACCGGCCGCGTCTCCAGGGCCCCGTGGAACTAACCGTGGTGCACCCGCCTTGAAACAGCGGGACCCGGTGGGTACAACTAGTCGGGTTCGCAAAAGCGATACCTGGAAACCACGAATATAAAAAAAGAAAAAAAATATATTACAACATTGACACAGACAATACGGGAAGCAAAATCAAATGTCTCATACACAAGCCAATTAGTGAGAACTTTTCCAGCATTATGTCAGGAGCATTGTCCTAGACACTGGCCGAGAGAAAGCTACTAGTCTTAAATTTGTCTTCATAGGTCAAGGAGCCGGATACATTAAATTCTAAAAGCAATACGAGACAACAAGGTTAATAAAGAATCAAGCAAATAATTGGTTGGTGTCCTCTTTAACTAGTAACAAACAGCTGATTCATATTAGCGATAACAATGAATACAAATATATTATACAGCAGTACATGCAGATATGAATTGAGAGTAATATGTGTCTGGTCACAAGAATTGCATTGAATGGAGCAACAAAGAGGAAAGTCAGTAATCATTTTTTAAGCATTTACAACCACACACCATTAGTGCCCTCTAAATCCATAACAAGGGTGCAAGGCTCAATTCCAGCACATCAAGCCATCCAAATACCTTTCGTGGTTTGTGACCTGAAATGAAGTAAATCCTTTCAGCTCACTTCAATAGAACATCAGAGAATTAGCATTAATAACATAACTTCCAAAGTTTGACCTTCCCTTGTAAGCATCCATCTCTCTGAAGTTGGTAAAGAAAAGATGATTTAACAGCGTACTCTTCCCTGTCATAATCATGGTTAAAGTTTGTCAAAATTGGCATTTATGGAATAGCGTCAACTCAAAAAAAAAAAATCAATGTCTAAGAGTAATCAAAATGACCCGTAGTCAGTAGAGCTAAAGGTATCCTGATTAAGGAGAGGTCCAAAAATTGAGCCCTTCCAAAACATGCACAGGAAGATCTGAATCAGCTTTAGGATGCTTTTGACATTTTGTTCACGAAGGATCAACATTTCCAAGTTACATTCTTGTATGTAAGGTGTTATATAACAGGCATCAAGAAGATGCAAAAAGTACAAAAGAAGATGGGTTAGCTCCATTACAAGAAGTACATTATCCAGGGCAGAGAGCTAACCAAAAGAACCAAAAAACCAAAAAGGTTGGCTGTCGAGTCAAAGTTAGAGAGCTAATAAAATCTTGAAATGGGATAACATCATTTACGGGGGATAGATTACTCCAACTAAATAGATTCCGAAGACATTTGGGTTTCAAGTTTTCAAGTTAAATTGAAGTCAATAGATTCCAAAAAGAGCGAAATGAACGATAAGCGTTCACATTTCCAAGAAATTGTTCATACCACTACTTTGTGGGACCATAATGGATACTACAGCATATGAAAGACCGCACTCTGCCAGTTTAACTTCCTTCGAGAAGTTCTCAAGTCCAGTAACATTGAATATCCGATCCCCATCAATGAGGTGAGTTGAACAACATTCATCACTTTTATCTGAAAGAACACAGATATAAAGTCAGAAAACCCCACTTATGATCTGAAGCTAACAGTCAAGGGGCTATACTCTTGATTGCAGTGGCTAATCCAGGATTTTTAAATCATGGGTCCTCAACTGATTTTAATTTGGAAATTGCTACTTAGATTGGGTGCTCAGTTAATATATTTGTGTAAATTACTAGTTTTTTCTATATAAATAATAGTGTTTGTCTCCAAAACCCGATGGGTGCTTAGGCACCCATAATACATAACGTGTATCCGTCGTTGCTTGATTAGATAAAAGTAAATCAACTTACGAATAGCAACAAAAAAAAAAGGAAAATATTACTTTTTGCTACACAATAAAGGGGGGGGGGGGGGTCCCTTCCCGGATCCAAGATGTTTCGTGCAGCGGGCTGCCCTTTTCTTTATAAGTTCAAAACCACCCCTCAACCACAAGCACCAACCATAGATGCATGCGCTTTCGAAAATGGCATAGAAAATCTATTCTAACTGTAAAACATTCATGGTTGCAACCCAATTACATTTACTAATTCATCAATTTTTTCCATTTGTTGAAGAGAATTCAATTTAAGCTAATGTACACTATGCCAAGTAAACAAACAACTAAAGGAAATCTATCCACTCTAAGAAATCAATGTAATTTGAAATAAGTTACTACTTAACAACTGAAACCCAATGGCCAGAAAACAAAAAACATATAGTTAAACCGTGAGAAAGACGGAAAACTGAAGAACTATTACATGGCATTTCTTTTATTAAAAGCAGATCATTTAGAATGTGAATTGGGAACTATGGAAGTGGAGTGGAGCATCAGAAAGATAGAAGACATACCCATATGAGAAAGCTCAAAGCTCGATCAATGCTTGTGAATTCGAGGAGGAGAGTACCAAAGTTCGATCTTTGAATAGAAATATGGTTTCTTCTGTCTTAAAAATTGCGCCTCATATCCGATTATCACATGCGAAAACTCTCCCAAGAATTGTAACTTTGCAATCATCAAAATCAAAAAGGAAGAATACTACTCCTTGTCTCCTACTACTAGTAATTAGTGAGAGTAATAACAATAATAATAATAACAATTAGGTTAATACACCGGGTAAACAAAATCTTTGAATACAAGGGACACCTGGTAAGGTGAAATACGAAAATTTGTAATATATTCTAGTTAAATATGTCTCCCTTTTGAGAGGGAAGAGAATCTAGAGATATATTACTTTACTTTATTATTACTTTACTACTATGGTCGTAAAGTAAAGCACCTCATGGTCGTCGTGTGTGCCTCCTTGAATTAACATCTATTCTAAGGGTAGTTTTGGAATTTTGAGTTCTTTTTGGTGAGCTGTATTGCTTTGTGTGGTCTAAAGAGTTGACTTTTAGCTCTGTTCACGAAAAAGCCAGGATTATTTCCTTGTACCGGCAATGGGAAGATTTGCAATCCTTTTTGCAAGTCTTATTTTACCCCTACTTTTGCACTTTTTTACAATAAATATGTTTCTACACCTTCGTAAATGCAACAGACAGATGAGCCTTCATTCAAAGCCCAAAAAGGTCACATAGATGCTGATGTCACGTGAAGGTGACATGCTATAACAAGTGTCATCTCCAACTTACTTTTTGACACATCTATATATATATATATATATATATATATATATATATATATATATATATATATATACAAAGTTGGGAATAGAGAAGGTGACGTGACACCTCTCTATGGCCAGCAATGGTATTTATCTTTTTCTACAATTTTTTGGCTTTTTACCTCATTTTCTGGTCAAGAATTAATATTGAAAGCTATAATATATGCATGCCAACATAAAACAATAACTTAATGCAGTTAAATGCTCAATGCTCACGCATTAATGCAAGAAAAAACGTTTGAAGAAATGGCTATCACTATTCAAAGCTATCATATTCCAAAAGCATAAATGCTGGATAGATCAAAAGGCAAAGCGTTAGCCGTTTGGAAGTTGCACAAAATATTGTTTCTTTTCTAGATATTGAGGATAAATCAAATTTTGCTTATGTCAATACTATTTGTATTTTTCTCTATACAGTTACTCAACTGTGAACTCCAAGATTGAATTATATTCTTACCGCCATGGCCGGAAGGAAAGAAGAAAAATGAAGTTGTAAGTCTTCATAGTTTCTACCTTAAGTAGTTTGATACGTGTTTTATGCCTTATACTTTTTATCATTTTTCTTGAGTTTAAATTGGTTTGGAATGACTTGAATCGTACTAAACATTAACTGGTTTCCCATTTACTTTTTGTATGTCTTAAAAAGTTTTTGTGATCTTTCATTCGTGAAGGTATAATCATGTATTTCTTTCCATGCCTTACTACTATTTTACCATATAAATTTTAATGTAGCATATATTGGTAATGAGTTTTCCTTCTCATTGTTGAGTACCTGCCTTATTGTTTGTATTCAAAATGTCTCACATCAATATATGAAATTGCAGATGGATAAATAAAACTATTGAAATCTCTACTTTGATGTTACGGTTGTCTTGATTAAAGTAACTTTTTTTCCTTCTAATTTCAAAGGAGATTGGGACTTCTGATAGTTCATTCTCAATTTCTTTCTTTTTGTTTGTGCGGAATGGGATGCTGACTTTCCTTATTCCTTTATTTCAAAATTGCAGGCAATAGATTTTTGTGCATATTCCCTTATTAATCATTTTATGTGCTTGCTATTTTATGCATTTGATTTTCCTGTTATTGTTGTTCAAGGGATAAGAGAGAATTAAAGAGGTGAGAGTACCGTTCTTATACGAAGATGAGAATAACTACTAATGCTTTTTATGTCTCTTTCAATAACCTTCAATAAAAAAGGATTCTTATTTTTTTTCCTTCCATTCTTTTTTTTTTTCTTTGCAGTTTTATTTTTAAAAACCACATCCAAAATGCTTTGTGTCTTTTTAGTTAGATACCATTATTATGCCTCTGAATCTCATAGGTTACCTATCCTTACTATGGATTGAGGTTCTTTGATTAGTTGCTATCTTTATTTTGAGAAATTAAAGAAGAAGAAAAAGGAGTTTTGTATTTATTTATTTTTTTTGAAAATAAATGCGTAAAGAATAATAAAGAAAAAAGAAAAAGAAAAAGGAAATAGAAGAAAAAGGTAACTTAAATGGAAAAGGGAAGGAAAATTAGAGAAAATATTTATAAAGTTTGATTCGATTGACTTGTGCCGCAGATTCAATTTTACCCTTTTTCTTTTAATTTCTTTCATTTTGTGTTGTTATTTTGTCTGGGTAGGTCTATCCAACATTTAAAAACTCATAAGTGGTGGAAAACCAGAAAAAGTTAGAAAACTAATTTGTTAAATGAAAAAATAGATTAAGAACTTGAAGTTTAATCTATGGGATTAGAAAAAAGGAGTTTTGTCTTCTTTTCTTTTTCTTCCTTTTTTTCTTTTTGAAAAATGAATGGGTAAGGATGTAAGAAAGGAAAAAGAAATAGAAGAAAAAGGTAAATGGAATTGAAAAGGGAAGGAACAAATTAGAGAAAATATTTTGTATAATTTGATTTCGTTGATATATGTGATATATTCGATTTTATCCTTTTTCTTTTAATTTCTTTTATTTTGTGTTGTTATTTTTATATTGGGTGGGTTTGGAAGACTAGAAACACATAAGCGATGGAAAATTGGAAGAAAAAAAAAACTAATTCGTTAGATAAAAGATGGATTAAAATTTGAAATTTAATCTATTGGGTTGGAAAACTGTATGAACCTTTAACATATTTTAGTATGTGGATTATTTTGTATGTCGAATAAAGTTTTTAATGATCGCGCGCGAAGCGCAGACAAATTTACTAGTGTGATATAAATTTATTCTTCTTGAAAGTAAATACTCCATCATACACATTATACAAAAAAGGAAGCTCATTTTTCTGACGTAATTTGATTTTTCTTTTATTGATTATATATTAAAATTAATCTAATCTCCTACTTTGACTGTTGATAATAGGTGAATTTGACTATAATCACGCCTTAAATAATCACCTTCTTGTGTAGTTTTAATGCTAAAAGTGATAACAAAATGCTCTTATTAGTGCTTTTCATGATTTGCAGGTGATATATGTATAAGGAAGGCTAAGGAGCAGTTTTGGAGTCAAAAATTGATGAAAAAGAGGCCAACTGTGAAATTCCCCAAGTAAACCACGCAAAACAGGCATGAAGATCAGAGCACTGGTTTGACCGCGGTTCCACCGCGACCGCGGTAGAACCGCGGTGGAAGACGGCTGCGGATAAATTCAGAATCAGAGAAGGCTTTTGGCCACGGTTTGACCGCGACCGCGGCAGAACCGCAGCGGAAGCAGAAAACTTCATGGACTAAAGTGTAAAACACGAAATTTTTAGACCTAAACCCTATTTAAAACATTAGACTTCGCCCAAGAGAGGCATGTAATGATTTTTAAGGTTTCTTAGCAAGGAAAACCATTGTGAGAGAATACTCCAAACATCTTTCTTCTTTACTTTTGATTTTTATGATGAATTCAATCTTAGTTTATCTTCCCATAGCCATGAGTAGCTAAATTCCTTGTCTAAGGTTTTGATGGAACCTATTGGGTGATGAACTTCTTGTTTATGTGAATACAAATTGCTAGTTTAATCTCTATTTGTTCAACTTTGTGTCTGTTGTAGTTAATTGACAGGATCCTCAATTAGCTGTGCCTATTTAGCGTGCATAACTTGGAAAAGAGTGCATATTTAGGGTATTGTTGAACAACACCACTCCTAGATTATTAGAGGAATCTATAATTGCGGGTGTAAAGGCGGAATTAGGGATAACGAAGCCTTGGGTGTAATCTAAAGTGAATCGTGCTAAATAAAGTAAGCTACTGTATCTCGGGAGAGTGCAATAGTAAATTACTGTGATTACTCGGGAGAGATTTACGGTAAGATTAGCGTTCATGATTGATAAAGATGTGTTGGTAAATTTGTATGAGCATAAACAGAAGGGATTCCATCAGTAGGGGAAATCATTGCCTTAGCTTTTTCTCATAATTGTTTACAACCTTATTAGTTTAGTTTACAGCTATTTAGTTACTTGCAAGCTAGTTGTTAAAGAACATTCAACTGAGATTTAAATATTTGGGAAGCTGGTTCTGAAGAATTAGTGGGTCTGAAGATAGTGGTTGATAGGTTAACTCTCTGTGGATTCGACCCTGAGCATAATACTCGGGTTATATTTGCAACGTCCGCAGAGTCCTTTTTATAAGGCATAGTTGGGCGTGATCAACTATGTGATACTTTTTTATAACTTATGATTTTAGATATATCATAATAAATTTATAACTATAAAATTATATCATTAAGAGTAAATTAAGACGTTGAAGATTAAAATTATTTTTATACATATAATATATCATTCTTTTTACAATGTATTCAAAATAAAAATAGTGATACTAAAATGAGAGGATTGGTGTAATAATTCGTACTTCTATTGAGTGGTGTAATATATTTGCAGATACAAAAGTAGTAATTTTGCTGCTAGCAATCTAAACCAAATTGCATCGATTATCTAACTTTTATTTCCAAGGCAAATTATCATTATCTCAAGTTAACATCACGTGTTCACAGAACAAGCAAGATAATATTATACTCCATTTGTCTCATATTATCAGTCGTGATTACTAATGCCAATGAACAAAAATTAAATATTAAGACATGAGTAAGGATAAATTAGTCAAATCCCATTCTAATTAAATTTTTTAAGGGGCGTATACAATAAAATCATGATCGTTAATATAAGACAGAAGAAGTATTTATCGAGAATCAATAAATAAATTTTCTAAGTGCATAAACTAACTACTAAAATGATCTAATTAGAACAAACAATTCTTTTTATAGTTAGTTGGCATAAAAAGTTAGAACAACATAAAGTGTTCCTTATTTTAAAAAAGATTGATGAAAATAATGATGAATAATTTGTGTAGTTGTGTTTGAGAAACTATAAGCAATTATACTAATATACAAGAATTACCTTTTATCTAACAATGACATTTTACATTTCATATTCCAACAAAACTATGACACTCTTATCTTATTTAAAGATTTTAAGTGATCTTTTAATAATAAAATTAAAATTACACTCCAACATTTAACAGTACCATAAAAAAAGTTTGTAGGTGCTATCTTTCAATTTCTTGGTTACATCTGGAAACTTATACTATCGTTCATATACTACTTCAATCGCTGGTGTAAAAAGAGTTATTTACTCCATGA